CCCGCTCCGCCGCCGCCGCGCCCCGCGCCCGCGCGCGCCGACGCCTCCACTATGGCCGCCGAGCCGGTCGACGGCGTATCCCGCTTCTCGCGCTGCGCGGCCGAGCGCGAGGCTCAGCTGCGGCGCCGCAAGCAGCAACTGGTGGAGGCGGCGCGGCGCCGATATTTGGCGCGCCTGGCGCCGCGCAGCTAAATCGCCTGTACCTGGCGCCCGGGGCTAATTACTGATCGAAGCTCGGATGCTACAAATGGTGTGTTGCAACCCGAATCTTTATTTTAGTACGTAGCCGTAAAATACTGATATGATGTAAATACTTCACCCGTTGTGATATATAAATTAGTGTATTAATTAGTTTAGCCTCCAACACCAACGAGCCTGGCTGAATATTTTAAAAAATATGGCAAATAATAATATGTCCTTATTTAGACGTTTGTCGCGCCAATTTAGTTTATCTTTGAGAGTGTATTTTTCTATTGAATAAAATATATCGTCCATAGAATGTACTCTTAGATTACCGTTAAATATAAATTCATTTATAAATTATTGAAACCAGTTTGATCTCCTTTGAATATGAAACCTTGTTTTGACACAATTACACTTTATTTCATTAGATTAGTGATTACTCATATTATATGTTGATGTAGACGATGTAGATGTAATAATTATTGTATTGTAATGTTAATGTCCGCACTCATGCATTATGTAACATTTCACTCATTTGATAATCTGTAACAACTAGGTACATGACTCTTTACATTGTTCTCGTATCACTAGATAAATTCTTTTCTACAATTGATGTGTGCATTTGTACTTATATTGTGTACAAATAATAATAATGTGTTAGTGGCTCCAATGCTCCATACTTAGCGAAACTCTTCAAATGGTCATTTAATGTGATAATAGCAACTTAACAAAATTGTCTAGGAAGTAATCACTGTGGCTGAAGCTGTATTGAACGATTTTTTTTTTTTTAGAAAACATTTAACATGAAGAGTTGAATCAGAATAGCTGTAAAACAAGACAATTACTTAATGGTGACTGTTTTGTAGTGAGATAACAAGTATGAGATAATAACATTTATAGCCACAACATTAGGTGACTGCTGATACATATAAAATTTTAAATAAATTATTATAAAATTGATTCATGACTAGTCAAATATAAATAATAAATATTTAAAGTTACTAAGTGTTTTTTTTTAATGCCATGATCACATGCAACAGTTTTGTGGATAACCTCAGTAATGTATGTAGTATTATACATGTGTTATGTTGGTGCAGAAAGTGGTAACCTTTTCCACTATATTGTCCATGTACATGAACAACATGTAAGTAGTATACCGCTTCTCCCCTTGTTAAGTAAATTCTGAGGTTTTCCAGAGAGAGCATTGAGTTGTTGATGAGTATTTGAATAGCTGCCGTGGGTACAACATTAAACTTACATAAATAAAATGTGGAATCAGAACTTTGTGCAATTACATTCCCTGTGGAAGGCTCAAGAAAGAAATGTTTATAACTTTTGTTGGACATACTAAATTAATTATTATGTTCTTGGCTTTCTCACATATCTGTTTGACAAACTACTAAGGCTTGCAGCGTTAGCTTGTTTGGTTTGAGTGTATATTTATCGAAGTCCACTCACACACATCAAGTAGTCCTGCTCCTAGAAACAACTAGTTGTAAAAGTAAGTAGGTACTTATTGTGTTCCAATGTCGACTTTATACTGATAGGCCTCGTGGATATTTAAATGATATGGAATGACGTGATTTTCAGGTAGATCATTAACCCTTTGACCGCCAATGTCACATATACGCGACAAGCGAAAACTGTCCCTGGACGTCAACGACACAAATACATGACAGAAAAAGCGGAACCAGAAACACGAATTATTGGAATCCCCATTGTTGATACAATAGGGATTCCAACAATTCCCATTTCTTTCGTAGAAATTTGCGTGGAATTTGTGGCTTGGTGTCGAAGGCAGGTTCATGTGTTTTTGCTCTGGCGTTCAAAAGGTTAATATAACTGTGCCAAGATTACTGAAGCACATTACACCAATTTTCTTAAAATAAAATCATACATGTTGTCTTTAAATGATATTTAATTCATATGCATTCAGTTTGACATAACTATCAACCAATACTAGTGACAGTGACAAAATTAGATAAATTTTATTTTATAAACATTCTCAGTTACTTAGACAAAGATTTTAACCTATAAAGTTGATAACAACAATGTGCAACACCAAGTGGGCAAATATGAAGTCTGCAAATCCTCGCTCCGCACTCAGTCCTTGAAACTCATTCTTGTTTTCTGGATTCACTTGCAAACGAAGACAGACTGGAAATAATATAATTGAGCAATGAGGTGTTTCAGTATCGGTATTTAAACTATCAAATAGTTATTAACGCAAAGTAATGTAAACCCTATTACATGGGACTCATAACATAAATGGTGAAAACTGGGTTTTACGTTGTACAGCGGCATAATGTGCACCTCTGCCTAACCCTTTCGAGGATAAAAGGCGTGATGTTATAATGTAAACGTAATGGGTAGATGCTGTTATACCATAACACAATATTTACCTGCGAGGACAAAAGAGCTGACTGTAGAAATAAAACCGCTCAAGAAAGAATTGAATGGAAAAGTGCCGACAAGGCAGCAGTAGACGAATTGAATCACAGCGGTTAGAAAAATGTATAATAAATAAGCGTCAATGATTTTCAACTTTTTAGGCGTCTTGGTTGTATATTCCTGGTACAACTTAGGAATTACAGATGTAACTGATGTCATTTTGTAAGTTAAAATTACAGAAACTTGGAAATTACAAAATGCAACGCTTGTCGCTCTTTACTTCTCTGACAGTGACAGATTTGACACGTAGTAAACCGAATCTACACGTCAATTTATCCTATTGGATACTTTGGATAATTGGACCGTAGACAGTAGACAGAGAATGGGGCCTATTGTATTTTTGCTCACCAAATGTCGCCAGTATGAACCTCTCGTCCTTCGTCCTATAAGTTTGCCAGTTTGTCTATTTAATAATGAAAATCAATGAGGGCGCCACAGATCGTTCATATAGCAACCCCTACAGCGTAAGTAAGTACTAACCAAATACCATTTAAAACTAACCTATAAATAAAAGAGATCATTTCGGCTACATAATTACACTTTTTGGCCTTTTCTTTTGCACGATATTAGGAGTTTAGCGGTCCAGAAGATGAAATCGTTTCGTAACATTAAAATAATAATTAGAAGACTATAACTGTCAAAGGTCAGGGATAGATCGTCATCACGAAGTAGGAGCTAGAAGTTTAGAACGAGGTGCTTTAAAGGCAGTAACAGTCTAGCGGTAGACATGACACTCACTTCTTCCTATTTCCTCAGGACTAGAGGAGTCAGTTGAAGATATTTTAACAAAAAAAAAGACGACTGAAAAAACTTTTCGCACCAGACACTTTATTCTAGCAATATCGATCATTATTTTCGTTCTATATCAGAAAGCAAAAAATGTATGAAAATGATAAATCTTCAAACTGGTATAACTTCTTCATCTTGGATCTTATAACTTTTACGCCATAATTATTAACTATTGCTCAAAATAGTTAGTTCTTACGATATGTACCATTTTTTTCATTGGTCGACACTTTCAGAATACGGCCAAAAAATGATCTCCAAATAAATTCCTTATTTTAGAAATAAAATCGTTTATTTCGTAAGTTTTTCACTTTTGGCAAATAAGATATAAATAGTAATCAGTTATACAATTCCTATCTATCATAGCCACAGTTCGAGCGAAAACATAATCTTAATTTTTATAAAATTTTGCATACTCAAAATAAAATTATTCGAGCACCACTTCGAATTATTCTTTTGCATGTTAAATCTTTAGCTCTTTGTTTTACTGAACTGAAACATATATTATGCTTGCGATACAGGAACAACTATGTAAAATGTTTTAGAAGCATTACAATTGATTTCAATTTTAACATTTGAAAGCACGAATTGCATGTATATTTACATCATGTACACCTGAGCAGTTTTATTTTCATTTAAAGATATCGGAAACAACACTTTGACCATGTCCTCTCCAGGCCCAATCGACGTACCTATATAAATTATATAACGTATATAATATTATTAAGATGTACGTACTTTTAGACCACTATTGTAGGGTTTATTTCTATCTACCACCTTCAAGCATTTTTGTGGTACATTTCATGTCTTCTCCATGGTATGGTATATAAAACAATGCTTTATATTTTATTAATTTTATTTTTTGGCATTTTTGGCAATTGCACCAAAAAATTGGTGATTTTCAGAAATACTGAAAATTAATAAATAATGAGTACATACTGAGTATCCATTTTGAGTATTCATCCGAAAAATCGCTCACCTCTAGTTGCTCTCCGTTCGTCACCTCACTACTTCTATAACATTGGAATGTCATAGTTGACACACAATTTTATGCATGTCATTCATTTGTACGCTGTTGTTACAAATTGTTGGATATTCTAAAAGTATTACTGTTAGAAATTAAAATGTTGAGTGTTAATGAAAATTTTCCCGAATATGCAGTGCCTGGAGCTAAACAAGTTCGCTTCGAACCGTACGCTGATAATGGCGGCAGCATTGTTGCCATCGCCGGTGATGACTTTGCTGTTATTGGTGCTGATACACGTTTGAGTACCGGTTTCTCCATCTATACGAGGGAACAGAAGAAACTATTTAAGCTTTCGGACAAAACTGTTTTGGGTGCAACAGGCTGTTGGTGTGACACCTTGACCCTCACCCGGCTGCTTTCAGCAAGGATGCAAATGTACGAGCACGAACACAACAAGTCAATGTCCACACCAGCCGTCGCTCAAATGCTCTCCACGATGCTGTATTACAAACGTTTCTTTCCTTATTATGTATCGAATGTCCTGGCTGGTTTGGACGCCGATGGCAAGGGATGTGTCTACAGCTACGATCCCATTGGTCACTGTGAGCGCTCCAACTACCGCGCTGGTGGTTCAGCAGGCGCTCAACTGCAGCCATTACTGGACAACCAAATAGGTCTCAAGAACATGCAGAATGTAACTGAAACTCCTATACCTAAAGAAAAGGCTTTGGCCTTGTTGAAGGACGTTTTTATTAGTGCTGCCGAGCGTGATATTTATACTGGAGACTGCATCTACATTCTAATTATCACTGCCACTGGCATCCAAGAAGAAAAGTTTGAATTGCGTAAAGATTAATTTTGAAATAAATGTAATTTCTCAAAATTGTGTTTGCTGCTTACCCCACATGATCTTATAATATTATTTTGTTTATTACGAATTTTGATTGGAAATTCTATTATTCCCTTATTATTTATTAATTGTGAACCCAAATGTTAATGGCTGAAAGAATAATAACTTGCCAACCAGAAGGATTACAAAATACTATAACAGTTGTAACTGACTATATTGAAATTATATCATCACATTACTCCTAGTATTGGTAAGTTATTGTCAGTGAAATAAAGAGAAACAAGTAACTGAGTTTATTATTTAGATATTAAAAGGTAACTACAATACAACTTTACACTTTGTTCATTATATTTACATTCAAATGAAGATAATTTGATACTTTCATTTATTGTACTTAGGCATAACAAATATATTCTGTGGAAAGATTTTATCAAACATTTCACTCACTAATTCTTGACTTGCCGTATCGCCGATAATGGTAGCTTTTAACCTAGGAGGAGTCGTGCTGCCAGAAACTAAAGGATGGATATTGTAGCAAAGTTCCACTTTGCCCTTGGGTGGTATGGTCACTGATATTTTTTTGTACCCTGAGAACATGTAAGCATCAGTGCCCTCTACAGATACAGTAAGTCTGATGGGTGTACTGCACTTGCCAAATAGAGTGCATTTCAATGGAACTGAAGTCAATAGCTCCACTACCTGGGGATATTTCACTTCAATGGCGACCGGACAATCATCTATGGGCAGTGCTGACAAGGCTGTGCTGCTCATCACACAATGGCCAGTGTTGGACTTCCGACGCCACGTTATGTTATATAGACCCACTCTAGTTGGATTATCTTTAGGTTTGTACTTGGCTTGTATGCATACAGCATCTGATGCTACATTCTTTTCAGCAACTTCAAGGTTAGTAATACAAGACAAAGGCTTGATACCATCACTGGTCTTAAAGCACTCAATTACCTCCAACTCTGTGTCTACTATCAGCAAATCCCAAGGGCTTAAGATTTTTATCTGTGGCATCACTATGAATGGGTCATCTACGAAACATTTCGCAATTGGTTTAAAGTTCATTGCCACAAAATTGGTAGACACTTCAAATGGTTTAATAACTGTTATTTTAGTACAGAAGTCTTTAGTGCACTCCAATTTTGTAATCTCAGGGAGATCAATAAAATAAGATACTTTTATTTGCACAGTTGCAGTTGCTGTTCTATTTGTTTTCAAAAAGAATGTATTGGCATGACTGCTAGCCTTACTCAAACTACCAACTTGTAAATACAGTGGCTGTGTCTGTGGTTCTCCTTCCTTCAAACTCAATTCTGTGACTGAGTCAGGGTTAGGATTGTCTGGGGAACTCAACAATGATAATGTAATTTTAATATCATACACTTGACTGTCTTCATTGTTTGTTATAGTAAATAGAGAAGGGAACCATTCACCTTGCAGCGCAGGACTCGAGTTGGTAACCAGTAATGACAACTTGCTATCTCGAGAAGTAATAGATGCTACTGTTAAAGGTACAATGGAATCAAATTCATAATCCGTTTTGGGGCTTCTTATGAAATGTAATAGTTCTGGATGTATAGTTAAATCTGTTACTTTGCTGCCTTCTATCTTGAAATTTAAAACTATTTTACGTTTTCTATCATTGTCAAGAACAAAAGATACACTTTTGATATGAATGTCTGATCCACTGTCATGAGGATTTGGCTTGAATTGGCATAGAAATCTTTTAACTTTTTCACCTTGTAATAAAATAGTTGTTTTATCTTCATCAATGACTGGAATTTCAATTGTTTCAGATTGACTAGATATAGCTATAAAAGCATTTCGAACTTCAAGAACTGTTGTGTACAGCAGCCTGACATATAGTTCTAATTCAATTATCTCATCCATTCTGTATCTTGCTTGCTTAAATTTAGGCTTGACTTCTAAAAAGCTAGATATGTTAGCCATATCAACAGGAATGAGAAGAGGATCTTTCTCAATAGCTGATTGCCAGAGTTCTAGTGCTTTATGCTGGGAGGCAGCTGGGAGATCTGGTTCAGCAGCTGGTATATTCAAATTGAGAACAGACATAATATTTCTGTATATCCTATCCTTATCGTTGTTTGGTACCTGGATGTGTTTAGATAGTGCCTCTACTGACAGTTGTAGATAGTCTTGTATTTTCCCTGACAAATAAGCACACTGCAATGCTCGATTTAGAACATGTGAAGCTAGAAACCACCACTTCTCTCTCCGATAGTCCCACAGCATATGAGTCAGCAGAGTGAGAGCTTTGCCATAATCAGCTGAATAAAAGTATTCATTTGCCATTTCAACTACTAACTGTTTTCTCATCCTAGGGGAGTGGAATGTCTTGAACTGTGATATGGCACTGCCCAAGAAGCTAATGATCATAGCAGAGTGGTTAAAAATTCTTTCATTATATTGTAAGGCTTGAACTGCTGCTTGTTCCTTTTGTGGGTCATGAGGATCAGCACTAAGGCGGCCTGGTCTCCATGGTCTTTGGCCATAGAATTCCACAATGCCTTCCAGCGGGTCAGGTGTTGGTGGGTAAGCCATAGCCTCTGTGCAGACAGACCTCATTGCTTGTCTTCTCTTCACAGTGAACTGAGCTGCATGTTGATAATAAAAGCCAGGATGCTGAGATTGTATAGCTGGAAGGCCTGCTCGGATAGCTTCATCGAACAATTCTCCAAAAGCACTATATTGTCTAGCAATCCAAGCATAGTGTTCAAACAGTAATTCTGTAGATCCAACTCGGTTTTTATACCTCTCAATGTGAGACTTTAGTTGAGCTATTGCATCTCTGGGTAAATTCAGAGCAAATAATAGTTTACAGAGTTTATAATTTATATAACCTGCCACAGTCCTAACTTCATGAGTATTGGTGTCTACAATCCTGGTTTCAAGTAGGTTGTTGTAGGCATGCATGTAGTGCTTGTGGGCTGTACTCAAATCTTGTTTTAGTTCATTAAGATAGCCCAGCTTAAACTGGTGTCGCACAAACAAATATTGATGAGTAGTTTTGTTGAGGTGATCCCTATGCTGTTTGATGTTTTTAGTTTCATGATGGTAGTAATTTTGAGCAATGTCATAAAATGCATTCTCGAGGCGCAATATGTAACCCATTAGGTGGTCACTATGCGGAAGTACAAACAGTGACTTTGACTGGATTTCACAGGCAGCACACAAGGCTTGAGCTCTCTCGGCACCCAGCATGTACTCAGAAGGGGGTGGAGAGAGTCTGCTCTGTATAACGACGACGGCTACGCGTGTAGCGTGCCCTTCTACTGCAGCGCGGATTGATTGTACCTTGGACGCACATTCAATGATCTTTTCGTTCCATTGAGGATCATTCCAATCCATGTCATAAAAAATTACGACTACTGCAGGAATTAGAGACACACGTTTATGGATCCAGTTCTTCTTTAGAACACCCTTGGGAATATACCACTCGTAAGAATTTCGCTTCGGCTTAACTACAGGAAATTCGAAGGTATTGTTAAGTAACTTGAAACGCACAGGCGTACGGTCGGCACGACGATTATTGGAAAATGCATCCCAGATTTCTTTATGGATAGCATTATTCACCGCGTCGAGTCCAGACAAACCAATGAGAGCGAGGGGCTTCAATATTATCTCGGGCGGAAACTCGGTGTAGTCACTTGGCTGCGTCGCCATTATTGTTCGTTTAATGTCCTTAATTTCGCCACAGTAATAATATTGTAGGTCATGGAATCATTCCATGTCACAGTAATACTGCATACGTAACTAATTTATATCCACAATCTTCAATGAAACTCCCCCATCATTTTTGCCAAATTGCCAATCTACTCTATGTCTCTAGTCAAAGTCAATAAATTGACGGGATGAAAAATGAAAATGGACAAATAATGACAGAATTGCTGTCTATGCTTAGTGCATTGACTATTAACTATTTACGAATCATTTTGCTTCAGTCTTGCTTGAGTTCTTGACCATGTCTTGACAGTCTTCACCTCTATCATTATATTTACACAATGCCGGGGGTGACCCCCCTTATTATATAGGACTTCTTATAACATAATTAGTGAAACTGAAAAGTGGGTGGTATTAAATTAGTGCTGAAATGTGTACCTCTGCCTACCCCTTTAGGGATCAAGGGCGTGATGTTATGTTGTATGTTAAAATAAAATAAAAATTAGGAAGTTTAATTGTTGATTACGCACGTTTAGGGTTCCCATATAATAGAAACGGCGCTAGCTACGCCCCTGTTCGTTCACCTATATCCAAAGCAGCTAATAATGTATGTAATATTTTGTATGTTATTAGCTTTTGTGTTGTAACAAGTTTTTGTTGAGAGAGCCATGTGTTGGCAGCACGAATGGGCTAACTTGACTAGAAGATACTACGGCCTCAAAGAAAAACAAAAACGACTTGAAATAACGTTTATGTTGTGTTTCGTCGTGTGAGTGAGAGGTTAGTCGGGGCCCAATCACATCCGCCCCTCCCCAATCTCCCCAATCACTAAATCCACTAATTCCTAATTTCAAAAAAACACTAAATAATTAACATAAATATAAAATGACCCAAATTGGATTTTTTATATTTTGTGGTTTGTGGATTTATGTCAAGTCAAGCAGTACTCCCCATACTTATTTTATGTACTCTTTGGAAAACAAAAATTAAATCATTATTTATGGTTTAGTTTGACTAAGTTTGACTTTGACGTTTGGAAGACTTGACTCGAACGAAATAAGAGATTTTAATGTGATACGACTTTATTTTGTATAATTTTGATGAAGTAAATTACATGACACGTGGATTAAATTTAAGTTTTACTTTTACATTTTGGCCTAAAAAGTAAGCTATGGCGTCTCAGGCTTTAGCCTCGTTAACGGCTACGTATACCGATTCTGAGGGAGAAGAAGATATGGAAGATCAAACCCCGGAAAAAGAAGAACTGAAAGAAACTCATTCAGAACCCGCAAGTCCAAAAAAAATGGAAGAAATTAATAAGCCGGCCTCTGCCCCTGTAACTCCTAAACGAAGGTTAGTTTCTTACGTTGATGATACTGTTGTATCCGACGAAGAACCAATATCACCTGGTCCGGAGAACCAAGATGATATGCGGCGTCTGTCAATGGAAACCGATACAGACGAGGCGGTGCCGCGGTCTGAGCCTGATGAATGTGAAGACGGTGTGACCATTCCACCCGAACCGCCCGGGAAATGCCCCAAAGAGCTCCAAGACACGATAGCAAAGTATTATAGTCGAATGTTAAGTGAAGGATATGATATGAACAAAATTATACAAGATAAGAAAAACTTCAGGAACCCAAGTATTTATGAAAAATTAATACAGTTTTGTGATATCAATGAACTGGATACAAACTATCCTCCTGAAATTTATGATCCTCTGAAGTGGGGAAAAGAATCGTATTATGATGAATTATCTCGAGTACAAAAATTAGAGATGGATAGAAGGGAGAAGGAGAAAAAAGAAAAACTAGCTAAAATTGATTTTATTTCTGGTGTAGCTAAAAAATCTGAAAGCGATGATGAAAAAAAAAGGAAATCCAAGTGGGATCAAGCAGCTCCTAATGTCTCTAACAAGCCAACTATCAAGCAACCTGGTTTGGTACAACAACCACTTACCAGCAATGTTACTGGAACTAAAGGGACTATAATTTCAGCATTTGGGTCTTTACCTAAAAAGCCAAAAATTTGACTGGAGACAATTACTCATAAATGAGTTATTTGACTATGCAATCTTCAGATAATATGCATTACCACTTGCAAATACAAAATAATGTGTAGCATTAGGTATTATCCAGTGGCATGTAGCAATGGGACAATTTTAACTATAAGAGACATTATTACATTAATACAAATTCAACATATTATTTGTTATTTTTCTTGCAGCTTTATTTCCTTTAAAATGTTATTTCAAATATAAAATAGCATTATATTATAGGATTATCAATATTAACTGTGCGGAGAACTTGTGTGAAACTAATCCTCTTCTAATGCCAGTCACCCCTGTCCAGTATGGTTCTGGCTAATCTCTGCAACACCTGGATCATTTTGACAGGACTTATATTGGAAGGTAGCTGATGTACTATAACTAAGGCTTTCTCATGTGGAAGAAGTCGCACATTGAGGTATTCTAATATTATAGTATATACTTCTAATAGAGTTGAAGAGTATGTTTGTTTCAATGCGCTAATATTCAGAACTACTAATCTGAATTGAATAATTATTTCTGTACTAAATAGTTCATTTATCGAGGAAGGTTATAAAATATATCTCTACAATCAACAGGAGTCAAGCAGAGCGGGTGAAGCCGCCTGGCTAGTTACCAATAAACAAAAAAAAGTCTGTTCAACACAATATTTAGTGATGTTTTCCTTCACTAAATAATGTGTAGTCTATGACCATGCGTCTAATGAATGGGGGCTACCATATTATTGCTCACTAGAGGGGGCAGTGGGAACTTCTCTTCGTTCAATTAGTGTCGCGCCATTGGATGTTCAATATTGGCAGCTGCTGTGAGATTGACAAAAACCTCTTATCTTATGTGGAGCAAAAACGGTAGCCCCCATTCAAATGTTGATATTAAACTGTCAAACACCGAGCGGTCACCGGTGACCGCAACCTATTGTTCTTTAATTGTGTCTTCAATGACGGTACTAATTAAATGTATTGTGCTACTGGCGCGTCACGACACGCTGCGCCACGGAAATATATATCTGCCTTTATAATTTTATTTTTATTGGTAGACATTGAATAATATGTGTAAGTTTTAAGTCTGAGTAAGGTTTTTTAAATTAACTAAATATGCAGGTTAGTCAAGTGAAATACAGATTAAAGTTCTACTAGTTTCGAGGCACATAGGGACACTTCCTCATGAACAGCGCGCGCGGTCTCGCAGCCTAGGTCTAGGTACTGTGAGAGCTTTTCTCAGTATATTTACGTGAGTAACCCGCAATTTTTAAGTAACTTAGTGTGTCTCATGATAGTTATTATAGAAAAAATTAAAACTATTTTTAACAAAAAACATGTATTTGGATAGGTATTCATACCTATTTGATATAACAGACTTTGAATACAACGTTTATTTTGGAACATTAGACCAGCAAAAAAAAAAAAATGTTTAATAAACTGAAATCTTGTCTCAGTGGGTTCTCAGGGGCGTGAAATAAAGTTCGACACATGATTGAACTGTAAATTGTATAATTGGAATAAACTAAATACAAAATGATAAAACTCAAATATTTCGCGGTACAAATACGGAGCGCAGTTGCACGCGGGCGCGTGTTATCGCAAGACGCGCATATTGTGGCAATTTTGAACCGGTTTGACCACTTGCGCTCGACCGCGCATATGTTTAATTGTTTAGAAATGCTTATCAGTGATGGATAGTTGCGAACTTGAATTCGAACCATCAATTGAGATAGCTATTGAGAATAATGAAATAGGAGCGTGTAGGGAGACTATTAGTAATTGTGAGAATATGGAGATATTAGAAGAATCTATACAAAATATTGAAGAAACTGACGGAGTGAGATGCAGTAAAAGAACTAGACAGATTGATCACGATGAAATGTGGACAAATATAACGAGGCGGGGTAAACGTTTTGCCCGAACAAGCCAGGTGTCGGATGAGATAAGAATACCTGAAGATAAAATAGAAATTAGTATAACTTCTGCAGACAAAATACCAAAACAGTTTGGACTTGCCAAGTTGTTAAAATTAGAAA